TGACCTAATTAACATAGAGGGTTAATTTTTTTGGTTTCCTAATGTTCTCCTCATGCACTTTACATAGATATAGAACAATTGCTTTTTTAAAGCAAAATTGAAATTCTTGATTTTTTCAAATTTGAGTTTTGTTTTACCATATTTGTGTCTTTTTGATCTTGGTGTATGTATATCTTATGACCTATTTTATGGAGAACCTTGATATTTGGAATACAACTAGACACTTTGAATATGAATTCACCTATGGCAAAAAAATTGGGGTGGGCGTGGCACATCCGGGTTGAATCACTAATTGTTTACATTTTGGGGCTGGGGCATAACTCGCATAGGATACGTTTGTTCAAAAAGGGACTTTGCACACAATTACCTCATCCTTTTGGCCAGTTTGTGTTAACAGCTCAGTTGTTTCAGCTTTATAGTTCCAAAAAAGGAACGGGTTTTAACATTTGGATATTTTCATTTTTCGATTTTGACCTTTGTTGACATTTGTTGACCTATATCTTTTGACTTGAATAATGTAGAAGCTTGAAATTTGAAACACAACATAACATTTGGAATATCAATTACCCTATGCAAAAAAATTAAGGTGGGCGTGGCATATTGATTAACTTATTCAAAAAAAATTGAGTTGGGCGTGGCACTTCCGGGTTAAATTACTCATTATTGACATTTTTGGCCAGGGGCATAACTCGCAAAGTATACATTTGTTCAAAATGGAACTTTTTACACAATTACCTCATATTTTGAGCCACTTTGTCTTAGAATTTTGGTTGTTTCCGCTTCATAGTTCAAAAAAAGGAACAGGTTTTGGAAATTCAAAATTTTCAATTTTTGACCTTGACCTTTGTTGGCCTTGACCTTTGTAGGATCAAACGTCATTGGCATTGGCTATCTATTTCTACTTTTATATTTCCTGTCCGAAGTCAATTTCTGGTTTTATAGTCGTTAGCAATTTGAAATTTTAATGGCGTATATCTCTTGATCTTGACCTTTTTAGGCCTTCTCCTTTACAAGATCAAAGGTCATTGACCTTGGCTATCTGCTGATACTTTCATTTGTGAGGTCTGACGTCCACTTCCGGTATTAAAATCTTCCAAAAAAGGAAAATTTCTCAACTTTAGACTGTTCTTGCGCTTGATCTAATTATCGTGGAAGGTTGATTTTTTCAGGGTCTTTTGCATTTTGCTACATTTGCAAAGTCCCACTCTGTGCCACGAGTGGCTCTAGTCTCTAATTGTTTTTAATTTGGTTTTAAGTGTTTTTCCGAGTCCCTGGGGTCTAATTAGTAGGAAAAACCCACAACATGGGCCAAATCGGATTATTTGGCAAAGTTAGCTATTGGACGTTTTCCGTCTATATGGCCTATTAGATCAGAATATCGGCAACTTTTCCTGGGCTAACTTTTTCCTATGGGAGATTTCTCAGTTCTGTTCTTTTCTAAATGTGTAGGGGGCCCGGGTGCAAATGTGTGCAAAATGTCAGCTTTGTAGCTTGGTAAGTTTTCAAAATAAAAATTTATTTGAGTATAAGCACATTTCGTGCAGTCGTCCCTTGTAACTAAAAAAAAATTATTTTTTTCTAATTGTTTTTAATTCGGTTTTAAGTGTTTTTCCGAGTCCCTGGGGTCTAATTAGTAGTAAAAACCCAAAACATGGGCCAAATTGTTAGCTATTGGACGTTTTCTGTCTATATGGCCTATAGGAGCAGAATATCGGCAACTTTTCTTGGGCTAAATTTCAGCTATGTAGCTTTGTAACTTTTCAACATAAAAAGCGTTTTTCAGAGTCCCTGGTGTCTAACTAGTAGGAAATCCCATAAACGAGGGCCAAATTCGGGATAAAAATTTATTTGATTATTAGCATATTTCGTGCAGTCGTTACAAGGGACGACTTTCTATGAAGTGTTTTTCCAAGTCCTTGGGTAAAGTAAGTGTATTTGAACATTTAGTACCTAATTCTTAACATATGGAATATTTTCTAGGGTTTATTTTCCTAAATGTAGAAATAGTCCATGTGGATATGCGTGTAAAATTTCAGCTTTGTAGCTTTGTAACATTTCAAGATAAAAATTTATTTCCAAACCGGAAAGACCAAGTTATATGGGAAGCGATCGAAATTGGGAAATCTAAACCAAAATTGAACCGGGATAAAGGACACTATCTGCCATATATGTGGCAGTATTTTTTTATGTTCAATATTTGCAAAGAGTTATATTTTGGGCATATAAGAATAAAATGAAGCTGATCTTCAACATCTTCAAGATTACAATATTTACAGATAAGGTTCTCTCGTTGATGTTTATCACATCTTCCTTTTTTTCTATCTCCAAGGAGTGACTGCATAAACGTATTCGCGTGGTTAGATAATAACGAATTACGTCGGAACCTTTGTCTATATATACAAAGCATTTTGAGGCCGTTACGAACTTATGAAGAAGTATATATATAATATACAGACCAAATTGAAACCGATGTTGGATTGCATAACGGCCTCAACTGCGTTTTGTTAATATACAGACGAAATTGAAGCCGTTGTTGGATTGGATAACGGCTTCAACTGCGTTTACTTAATATACAGAAGTAAGCCGTTGTTGGATTGTATAACGGCTTCAATTTCGTTTGAATATATACAGACCACGTTACTGGCCTCAAAATCGTTGGTATATATAGACCATAAAAACGACGAATTACGTTATTACTCCCAACGTATTCTGGTTATTTCCTTACAAATTTTAGAATATATGTTCTTTGTTAAATAAAATTGAACATTGAAGTTATTTATGACATGTTTATAGATGATAGCCTTTGATGATTGACAAATTTTTCATAGCATTCTTGTTTAAAAATGTCAAAAAATCGATTTTTTATAATTGAAATGTCTCTCTTACTTATACCATATAAAGTTTTATCCCCAATATATCCTAGGCCAATTCTACAGCTTTCGGTTTTCAAATTTTGTATCGAGCGGTCATCATTGCCCGTCGTTTTAAACAGTTTGAAGTAATATATTTTCAGTATGAAGTAATTTGAACCAGTATTTAAAGATGCGTTATTTGCTGAGAATAATAAGTGGGTATCGTCCAAGCTCGTAATAAACCATACAAGTATTGGTAGAAGGTCGGGTTGACAAGATTCTTATTAAGAAGTGTAAATGTAGTTTCTCGATATCATCACCTTCGTGAAAGCTCAAAATTTCTGAACCATAATTATTAATACTACCTATGTACGTGTCTGCAATATACTTTTGGGTTATTCGGAATTTCCCATTGAAATTGAATATAATAATACTACATGTATTTTCAATTTCGATTTTTGTAATTTCTATGTTTTCTATGTAAGTCCTATGTTTCATTGAATTTCAACTTTCTAAATATTTTAGTTTTATTTGTATTTACTAATAAATCCCATCTTTTAGTATAGGATGAGAACGAGTTTAACAGATATTGGAGACCTTCAGGTGTTTAAGAAAATATTGCCTTCTCATCTGCTTACAACAATATGAACAAACTTAACTCTTGTAATTTAATGGATGGACATCGCGCAAATGAGACTCGAAATCATCCACATAAAATGAGAAAAGTAGAGGGGAGCGAACTTCTCCCTATAACACACCATTATTGCAATTGGAATATTCGGACAAGTTACCGTTATATATACACAACACTTTATTTTTGTATATAATGATCTAATTATTCTTGCAATTTTGCCTGTGACACCCTCTTTTATAAGTTTAAAGCATAGCTTTTTATAATAATTTTAATTAGTGACTGTAGGATAAATGTGTCTACTGTTAAACAATTTTTTCGAAAATCAAACCGACAGTCCGTAATTTTTGTGCTCTTCTTCATCGAATTTTATGAGATGATTGTTAAGAATACAAGTGAAAAGTTTTCCAATACACAACAGTTACTCCCCTACAGTTATCAGTGTCATTGGCATCGCATTTCTTAAAGACGGGTGCTAAAATTCCAGTTGCTCAAACTGTTGGGAAATCACCCGAGTCGAGGACGTTATTAAAGAGAGTGACATACTATACAGGTACAAGTTCACTCGTGTTATGTATAAATTCATTTTGAATACCGTCTAATACACAAGCTTTGTTTAATTTTAGTTTTCTTATAATCTCTGATAACGGTTGAGATATACTATTATGACCAAGATTGTCAAATGTTTCTAAAAAATCGGCAACTTCAGTGTTTAATACAATGTAATGAGACGACTTAAAATGATGATAAAAATAGTTAAGAATGATATTCGGTATAATAGGTGTTTTTCGTTTATTGAACAATCTATAAAAAAAACTTCTATCATAGCAACAACTACATGTACCTAGTTTGCAAAAAATTTTGAGCTAGTAAACTTTTAATGAATCGAAGACAATTCAGATGTCTTTAAATAGGGGCATGACTTGATCAAAATTTTCCATTGAAAACAAGAAAGTTTAAAAAAACAACTTTTTATTTACAACAAACCAAAATTTTCAAGTATAAAAAATCCCAATTTCAGTAATAAAGTTTATGAAATTGGCATACTTTTATTTCACAAGCTCAATTTTTACAATGGAAAAGATACATTACAAATATTCAATTTTCCCATTGGATATAAATCTACAAATTGGTAATTTTGGTTTTTGACAAACTTTATCAGCAAAATAATCCTTGTTGATAAACAGAATATCAGGATTTTCATTTGGCATATAATTATATCACAAAACATTTCTGCATCATTTAGACAAATACATTTCAGAAGATTCTATCCATGTTAATACTTTCCAATCTGCCCATGGAAAACAATTATTAGCTTAACCTGTTTTGAACCAAGAGTACAGTGTTTCACCATGTTTCTACTCCTCTGATGTTTATTCCTGTGTAACACCAGTTATATAATGATTAGGTAGTTTGGTTTGTAATTCTACTGCTTGGTTATATAACTCCATATCTAAAATGAGATAATTAGATAAAGTACCCTACATTAACAATCTAATATCATTCAATAGACATTCTTAACACAGAAAAACTGTCATTGTGTTAAGAACAGATGTTGTGGTTTAGAGAATCCATGTTAGATATTAGCTGCTCTGTGTTCAGCTGTCTGCTTTAATAAAACTGTTTTGTCTTCCCTTCAGTTACTTAACACGAGTTATTCAGTAAAGGACATAAAAACCTTCATAATGCTTTGCTTTATAATACTCAGGGCTGGTACAAGCTACTTTTCATTAACAGGAATACAAAGTGAACAAGCAATCTTTGCTTTTGTTTGTCCTTTAGTAGTACAAAGTGGAAGTGTATACATTTGGTGATGGCCACACTGGTTTTCAAAATTACATGAAATCAGAAAAAAGAAAATTAACTAAATTAAAATGGCTCAAGGCTTCCAAAAGAGAATTTAAGATACCTTTATAATTCCTTATTATACTTACTGAAAGTACCAGAGGCTTCATCAGAAAAGACGATGTAATTTTCACAAACTATGGAATTTTTGTTGACAGTGCCATGGACTTCTGTCAATCCTGCTACATATTCATTTAACTGCAAAGAAAAATGAAATGCGGACAGAAATGTCAGACAGTGTACCATGAAGGGAATTATCTTTACAGGCTGAATACATTTCTTTTTCTTAATACTTTCACTGCTGCATTGAAAAAGGCCAAAGTAGCAGTACCAAAAAATCGAATCAGGCCATTGAACAGGTTATCTGGCATATTCATATGTATCATGTAAAGTGGCAATTGTATATTATACAGAATAAAGCTACATGACTAATTGACTACATGAAGTTGCAGTTATGATTTGAACGAGTTTTCTTCAATTACAGAACCACAAACTTTGGGTGGTGTATACAGGCAGTAGGAGTGCTCCTTATACATGCATAAACATCTTTATTTAATTCTGGTTCTAGAACTAGCTTTCCACCATGTTCCTTTAGCAACGGTAGTAGTTATCAATATCCTACTGTTGCTTTCATTATCCCATATTATTGTTATTAATTTTAAAGAAAAATACTAAAGGAACAATGATCTCCACAAAAAACTTACCGGTTCTTGCATTTCTACTTTAACATCCTGGCCATCACTGGTGTGAATTGTAAAAAATTTTCCACTGTTATCTACCTGAAATTATCAATGACAATCTTATATAAAGAAAAATGGGTTATAGTCAACTTGGCACCTAACCAAAAAGACCCAAATTTGGTCTAAATGGCCCTTTGAAAAATTCAAAATGGTTCCAAAATAATATTTGATTTGATTCATCCAAATTAGTAACTCTTAAATCAGATGAAATAATTATTTATTTCCGCTGTTATTTTATACATGTATGAAAAAAATTCAAGAAAATGGAAAAAATTTTCTAGAGTGTTTGATCTATTTTTTGTTGCATTAAAACACACTCTAGAAAAGTTTTTCCATGCAACAAAAAATCGTGGTTCTTTGACGGA